TAAGTCCGGTGTCCTGGGCCGTAGGTTGCCGACCCCTGCTCTATGCCAACACGTGGTACTTACCAATGTCCAGTCAGCAAATGGAAAAGCAGCTACTTCTGCAAGCTGATTCAGGAGTGATGTGCCAATCTAAATTGTATTAAAGAAACCTGGCTTGAGAGAGGGCATAGTGTAGATGCATGCACCAATTTTCCAGGTGTAGCGTCAGTCACTATTTATAAGGAGAAGGAACTGTTGTTCATAAGGATCCTTATTTACCACCTAACTGTCCATCAGTTTGTCTGTTTTGTTGTTGCTGTTGTTATGTGGTGCTGGTGTGCCTTCTATTCGTTTCCAACTGATGACAACCCAAAGGCAGCCATGTGTCTTGGCAAGATTTGTTCAGATGGATTTTACCACTGCCTTTCTCTGAGGCTGAAATACTGTGACTTGCCCAAGGTCATCCAGTGGGTTTCTGAAGTCTAGCAGGGATTCAGGTGATCTCCAAAATTGTCAAACATTACTACCACTATATTGCTGGTTCTGTTTGTGTACCAATAACTATTATGATTGAGCAGTTTATTTGGATATCAATTTTTGTGTCTGGTGTTTTTGGATTAACAGGTAGAATTGGGACAACTAACAGTCTTTCTAGCCTGAGCTAGAAGAGGTTATCTCAAAGATGCTGTTAAGGGTAGCAAGTCACCTTGTATACACGGTGTTCGACATTCAAACTGAGGCTTAATTGGTTATATTATGCCCGTTTTGTGCCAGTTATGCTAGATATGTGTTTTATCCCAGGCTCTATCTAAAGTGTTTTAAAGTTATAAATGGTTTGAAATGAGATACAATCCACAGCTTCCACCCATATTAATCCACCTAGGCTTATGAAATGATTTTTAGAGTAACTCCTGTCTTGCTGCCATCAGAGTTACACATACTAGAGATGCTATTGTCTTTTAAACATTGAATTCCCTGCCTAATAACTAATTTTAAGAACTTTATTCAATGTTTTATTGAAAGTTTTATTTTTTTTTCCAGGTTAGCATTTTAGCTGCTTCTATATATTTTATGGGCTAAACACAGAGGCAGCAGTAGGGGTGCATTTACATTGCAGAATCAGTGCAGTTTAGTTTAACACCTCTTTAACTACCATTTCTCAGTGCTCTGAAACTCTGGGATTTGTAGTTTTGTGAGGTAGTTAGCCTTCTCTGCCAAAGAGCTCTGGTATCACAGCAAACTACAAATCTCAGGATTCCATAGGAGTTAAAGTGGTGTCAAACTACATGTATTCTGTTGTATGCCATCAGCTCTGGTTACACAAGACATTTTGGGCTGCAACTTCCATAAAGGTACAGGTAAAGGTATTCCCCTTTGAAAAGGTTATCAAGTTGTATCCAACTGTAGGGGGCAGTGCTCACCTCCGTTATTAAGTCGAAGAGCCAGTATTGTCAGAGACTGCTCTCATAGAATCATAGAATCATAGAGTTGGAAGAGACCACAAGGGCCATCCAGTCCAACCCCCTGCCATGCAGGAACTCCCAATCAAAGCATCCCCAATAAATGGCCATCCAGCCTCTGCTTGGGTCATGTGGCCAGCATGATTGCACAGAACACTGTTTACCTTCCTACCAAAGTGGTACCTATCTTTCTACTTGCATTTGCATGCTTTTGAACTGCTAGGTTGGCAGAAGCTGGGACTAGTGACAGGAGCTCACCCCATCATGCGGCACCTGGGCCTCGGACTGCCAACCTTTCAATTTTGCAATCAACAGAGTCAGCGTCTTAACCACTTGAGCCATGGCATCCCATATTCCCTGACTATTGCTTATTCTAACGAGTGTATGGGCATTTATTATATATTTATAGCTATAAACCTAAGATATTTATATGAAATGTCTGAAGAACTTCCATGTAAAGCATCTGTGTTGTATTGTATTACATTGTTTGGCTTCATTTATACTGCGATTCTGTCTGGAGGGCACCAGGTTACTGTGCCTGGGTTAACATTTACTGGTTTAATTGTACTTTAAATATTGCATATGTTGCTGTTGTCTGTCTTGTTAACATTGAACCTACCACCCAGGTAATAAAGGTATAACACAGTTTGGTCATGAACACCCTGTTCCAGAGAAAAGAGTGACCTTGTTCATTAGCTATGACTCTTCCCCACCTTCTTCTTCATCTAGTTCTATTTTCCATTTTATACTAAACACTTCATTGCCTTGTGATGGGTGCGGGGAAGGACTTCTTTGCTATTAACTGGATTTTTGCAAAATGAGTGACTTCCTGCTTGATACATTCTTCCCCTCTGGCTACTAAATGTAAATTTTGTCTTCATTAACCTGAACTAGTCTCCAAACTGAGGATTTACAGTAAGTTAAAATACTGTGCCTGGGAATTTGGGAAGCTGGAACAGGCTTTCTTCAAGCAATTGCTTTCAAATCATGTCTCGAATGCACTTGTCCTTCAGGCTTGAAGAAAATGATCTCTCCTAAGCCATCAGTCTCTGCCACAAACTGCATTGAATATTTCCACTCTTTTTTTCCATTGAACAATATACATGCTACTAAATATTAATTGCATTGGCTTCAGCATTTTTTCATATCTTTTAAATTTGTTTCACTTTATGCAACAGTAAAATCATTTGGATAAGTTCTGATGCTTTAAAAATTCTTATTTTTACTTGTAAACATACTCCATATGTTCTTTTGAAGTATAAGTATAAAACTGAAATGCAAATCAGTATCCTTGTAACCCAACATTCCATGAAAGATATAACAAAGAAATACTTATTTGAGCATTTATAATAAATAAATGCTTATTCCAGCTAAGCTGAACAGTCTAGGAGAACATATCTAAACAGAAATTTACCATAGCATCAGGAATTAACCAGGCATACTGAGCTAGTGGTTTGAGTGTGAGACTACAACTCTGGAGACCAGGGTTCGATTCCCCGCTGGGCCATGAAACCCACTGGGTGACTTTGGACAAGTCATATGCTGTCAGAGTCAGGGAAAGCAATGGCAAACCTCCTCTGAACCAGTCTTGCCAGGAAAACCCCATGATAGGTTTACCATAAGTCAGAAACAACTTGAAGGCACACAACAACAACTGACTCAAGGTCAATGTGAAGACATAAGAAGGAACAAACTGTCCCAAATATCAGTAGACGAGATGTGATCAGTATGTGATGTGTTTGATGTATTTGTTTTGATGTATTTCTTTTCCTGTTCTGCATTGGTGAATATCGTTTAAACAAAGACTTAAATCATACTTTGCTTTCCCAGAATCTAGAGAGGAATCAAAACTAAATACACAAAGAGCTCATATTTTTAACTATATCTACTCTTATTCAATACTATCTATTCATTACATCACTGTGTCCAGTGACTTCTTGACATATTGTTGACAAAGAGGCTAGGATGTTGAAAGTCTAAAGTTCTTTACTAAACTGTGATTGCAAGGGCATCTTTTATGGGAGGCAGAGTGTAGTAACAAATCAAGCCCAATGATTCCTGAGTTTTAATTGGTCATTTGAAAAGCTTTCACTTGATGGTTTAGAATATCTTCAAATTACCAAGTAGTTTTTGATATCAGGAATTGCTCCAAAATGGCTAGGGAGGTTTGTCTGGACAGTAACCTGCTTTAAAATCCATGAAGATACCAGAGTAGCACTTTGACAGTAAGAACTGTCAAATTACTTCTGAAGGCTGGATGTGGGGTAAAGATCAAGCCTCAGCCCTTTATAATCCTTTTGAGTGACAATCTAATTCTTGTGTTGTCCATATTAATAATTTCTCTTGTCCTGACACTGAAAAGAAGCTTATAGAACTTGGTGAGAAGGCAGTCTTCAGTTGCAGCACTTTGGACAGTTCCAGGTGGAAACAGAAACCCTCCAAGATTGGACTGGAGCCTTACATTCCTGCAGAGCCTGCTCACCCCTGACAATACAAATAATACTAGTAAAACTAAAGAATTCAAGCAATTTTCTATCTCATACACACCTGCATATTTGCATCTCCTGGATACAATTACAAGTTGTATTCGGGCTCTGTTGAGGTCCACTGTAAGGAAATGTTCCAGATTCCATCCAAAAACAAAGGTGATACAGATAAATCAAATGACTCACTGAGCATTATCACACAGTAAAAATGTCAAATATACATTACATAACCTCTAGCAATTATTTGAATTAGAAAGCTGTTGATGAAAGCAACCTTTGGCTTCCAAACATTATGTATTTGTAGCGTATCAGCTGTTATCTTTCTTTAAAGACAAGGAAACTTTCATCCTTAAGTGGATTCATTTTCCAGGCTGTCTTTCCTTAGTGTGCTTCCCCTTCCCCTTTCTTGGCTATGTGATTTCTAAGCTGTTTTTTAATAAAATAAATCTGGACTTACAAGGGTAATATGAGAACTACAAGACTCTAGATACTACTTCAGCAAATGGAAATTTATACCATTGCGTATGTCTTCTCTATTTGTGTATCCCTTTATTTTGTATGTTATTATATGAGGACATGGCCTTGAAAAGTAGGCTATGAAACAATTATACAGTTGAAACACTTTAATTGCCTGGCTTTTAAAAATTCGGTTTTCATTCTAGTTTCCAAGTTGCTTCAGATATTATTCTTTTCAGTATATGCTTATGTCCTAGTTATACGTATTAGATTGTATATAGTTTATAATATAAACAGATGTGTCTTAGAGCAATAGTGTTGCATAAGACAAGGATCTAAGTTCAGCTTGGCTCACTGTGGTAAAAGAATAAAATAGAAACACAAATACCCCTGCTGTGCTTTGATATTTGTGATATAGGAAAAGCGACAAAGTGTTCCCATCTTGCTCATGGCACTGAGCTTCTTTAAAATTACACATAGTACAATGATGATGAAACTCCATTCTCTCCTTCATTCCTTTTTTTTTATTTATTTAATTGTGGCAGTGGGAAAGCAGCATCTAGGTATTCAGTTGCACATACAATACTGATATTCCAGACAAGAGAAGCTGAATATCTCTTTTGTAGGAAAATGTTTCAGAGACAGGGCTTTAAGAAGAAGATGACAGATGTAATCTATATATGCTTGTGCTGCACCAACCTGATCAAGTCAGAAAGTTGAACAGTTAGAGTGTTTACAATTGAGGAAATAGAGTTTACGATTCAGGAAATAGAGCATTTTGGATCCAACGTGATACCTTTCATTAATGAATGTTAATTCTGTTCATAATGGATCTCCCTCATCATTAAATGTACAATGGACTTTTTCCTTTCTTTTTCTGCCTCTGAAAAACCACTTCTGTGGGCTATACCAGGAATCAGTGCTGAAAGACTCAACTGTACAAGTAGATCTCTGGGTATGAATCCACCTCAGTGTCCTGGCATATACTGGGGTCCACCTCCTTTCTTCCCTATATTGGGCTTAGAAGAAGCAATTATAGTGAGCCACGGATTGGCACTCTTACCAATCACCCCACCCTATATTAGTCAATGCCAGTGTGCACCCGTGGGCATAGTGATAAAGGCATGTACACCACCCACTGTCTAATATGGACTTGAGCTCCCACGGTTTTCCCCAGAACTAAACTGCCACAGATGGGAAGAGCTCACTGTATTTATAATTCCAATGACATGGAAACCTGGTCTCACTATGCAAGTACATCTCTACTTTATGGTTTATTAAATTCAGACTATGTTTTCTAGCATGTACTGTGGTTTTCTTCTTTCTTCCTTGCATTGGTGCTCCCCTATCTCTGATTTTTTAAAAAATATATAATTACAAATTCAGAAAAATGGAAACCCTGATTGCATCTGCCCCCAAACTAAGGAGCTGCCTTCCAAAGGAGGTTAGGAGTAGGGGTTCCCTGTTTTCCTCTGGCTGGCAGGCAAGGAATTATTTATTCAGATAGGTTCTTGGTGCCTGATTGCCTGCAAAAAGGGCTTTTAACATGGTTCCTTTTTGTATTTGCTTTTTAACATTGCTTTTAACATCTGTTTAATTCCATTTCAATATATTTTGATTTCTGTTCCAAATCTATTAATTTAATACTTACTATGTTTTTCACTGTGCCTTTTTTAATAATGTGAGTCACCTGGAATTCCAGTTAAAGACTAGGTGATAAATATACACATACATAAATAAATATGGCTCAGCATTGGATGTTATGTGCATTTTTGTCTGGCCCTATATTTATTAACTAAATGGGACTGTAAGGGATCTTTAGAAATGCAACCAGTTTTCCTTGTTTCAACAACAACAACAACAAAAAAGAGTCTGCTTGTGTAGGGTGACATTTTTGCCTAGTCATATCTTAGGACCTTATCACACGGGATCTGAAGCAGTGCCATCCCCGTCGCATCCCTGTCCCATTGTGCTTCCTTATACAGAAGCAGCATCATTCCGGTATCATTCCGGTCGTGAGAAATGTAATTCCCATTTACAACTGGAAGTAAAAAGAACGAGGATGATGCTGGATAATGCAGCATGATGCCGCATTGGGACGGGGATGCGACGGGGATGGCTGCGACGTCGTGTGAAAACACGGGGAAGAGAAGCGCAATGGGACGGGGATGCGACGGGGATGGCACTGCTTCAGACCTCGTGTGATAAGGTCCTTAGAAAGGGATTACTCTAACTTCAGTCCTGCAAAGGTGAGTGGTAGTATTAATCTTTACTGCCTCCTCAGTAAAATCAAGTCCATTAAAATCGTCTAATATAGATGGGTAGGTTTTTTTCCAATCTGTAGGCAAGAGCATACTGAGGCTGCACTTCAGAAATAGTGCAGTTTGACACCACTTTAACTGCCATGGCTCAATGCCATGGAATTCTGGAACTTTTAGTTTTGAGAGAGATTTAGCCTTCTCTGTCAGAGCTCTGGTGCCACAACAAACTACAAATCCATGGATTCCATAGCATGGCAGTTAAAGCAGTGTCAAACTGCCCTGTTAATGCAGTGGTTAAATCCCTGTACTGCAGCCACTCACTCACAAACCGCAAGGTTGCGAATTCAGTACCAGCCAAGGGCTCAAGCTGGACGCCGGCTTGCATCCTTCCGAGGTTGTGAAAATGAGTCCCCAGCTTCTTGGGGGCAATTAGCTTTGCTTACACATTGTAAACTGCTTAAGGAGTGCTTAAGTGCACTGATAAGCAGTATAGAAATGTACTTGCTATTGCTATTAATTCTGCAATGCAGATGCAGCCTGAGAATGTAGATAATTGCATATTATCAGGTCACAGGATGAAAATAAAGGGCATGAAGAGAAAACAGTAAGCCATTCTTAAAAACTGCAAGATGTCTGCACAGGGCCTTCAAACTGAAAACCTTTAATTTTTGCTGTGTGTGTGTGTGTGTGTGTGTGTGTGTGTGTGTGTGTACTACTCTCCAGAATATTTTGTGATTATGCAAATGCCTGTGATTATTTTAACATATTCATTTTTATTACTGTTGTTCTCTTTTAATATAGTCTTTCATATAAAATAGGTCCTTCTGTCAATCCCAGCACCGTTAGAGTTTCATGTGGTGGTAATGTGGTGTAGTGGTTTGAGCACTGGACTATGACTCCAGAGACTAGAATTCAAATCCCTGCTCTGCCATGAAAGTCCACTGGGTAATCCTGGGCAAGTCACATTCTCTCATCCTCAGAAGATAGCAAACTCCCTCTGAAGAAACTTATGAAGAAAAACCCATGATAGCCCCAAGTCATCAGAAATGACTTGAAGGCACAACAGCAACAACAACAAACATGGAAGAGAACTTCTTGATGGCTGCCCCAGGTTCTTGTTTTGTCAAGGCTTTGGGAACTGATTGCTCATAGGGAAAGGTTTTTTAATAATGTGCTGTATTGTTTGCATTAAACTGCTCTTAGTTCTATCATTAGTTTAATTATATTTTAACATTTACATGTTTTGTTGTTCTTGTTCTTGTGTGTCTTCAAGTCATTTCTGACTTATAGCAACCCTAAGTTAAATTTATCACATGGTTTTCTGCCCAAGCTCACCTAGGAAGTTTCCATGGCTGATTTTGGATTTGAACCTTGGTCTTCAGAGTCCAGTGCTCCCAAATCACTACATCATGCTGTCATGTTTTAATGTGTGTATTTTTATCTATATCTGAATTAACTTCTGTAAGCTGCTTTGAGTTCTAAGGCTAGAGAAAAGGTGGAATATACATAAGCAAATAAGTAATAATGATAATATGTTTTCTAAAAGAATTTTGAATCCAGGGGGAAATTATTTTATTCCAAGATTCTTTCTTTGTCTTGAACCATAAAGTAAAACTAAATAAAACAAACAAATAACCCCACTTTGGAAGGCAACAAGGTTGCAGGCCTGACTTTATGCTAAGAATTGCATTTTTGCCCTGTGTGCACTGATTTACTGCAGAAAATTACAGAGCAGAACATCACAAAAAACAGCTCAAGATGGTAATAATTGAGAGAAATGATGTGGCCTTGCTTCTGCTTCCTTCTAAAGGCCTTTCTAATTTACAAAGCAAAATAATTGTGCATGCTCTTGTAAATGAAAAAAAAATGATATTATTGTAGTAGATATAATAACGGGGGCAGGACTTGATAGCAGTGTCTGAAAATGCATGTATTTGCTATCGGGCTGGATGTGTGTGTGTGAAATGGGGTGAGGAAGGCTGATGTAACACACTGTCATACAATAATTAATAATATTCAGAAATGAAATTGGCTGCCATTCTACGTAAGACAGCAGTTTTCCTGGTCTTACCCAATCACACTGAAAGCAAATGGGTGGAGGGGACAATTAAAGTGTCAATATCTTTATGAGCTACAGCCTTTCCTCTCCATTCCTTGTCTTCTAATGAGGCTTACTCTTGTTCTCAGACCATTTAGGGAGGGGGAGCCTTTAGAGAGATGGACTAAGGAGCAAACTAACCAAACAGAGTGCTGAGCCATGCTCATCTCTACCTCCCCCCATGTATTTTAAACTGCACCTCCATTCCTTTGGTAGTGCCTTCCTTAATGTAATACACAGGTTTGCATGGTCTCACATGTACTTTAGGCCTCAGTTCCTATATTGGAAAAGGCCTCTCCATTAAATTCAGAATTAAAAAAATAAAATAAAAACAGCTTGTATGTACATGCTCTTTATATAATCAAACTATAAAACCATGTGGGTTGGGTAGATGGCATTGTATCCTTCCCACACCAGCATTGCTGGATAAGAAATTACACCACGCATTCAACCCACTTTGTTTCTCTGTATAAAGATGATCAGTGCGACAGAATCGGACCACAGAGAAGAAGATCCACAACAATAACAAATGGGTCTCTTTTTCTTGTACCTTAAAATTGTTTTAGGTTTCAGTTACAATGTGCAATCACAGATTTTTTAAAAACAAAACCAACAAAAACAGGTGTACTCAACGTCCATGGAGAATCTTAAATAATACACAATAGGTGGCATAATAAACATTTGACAGAGAACTTAACAGGCTTAAAAGTGAGAGTCTTCTATTTTTTAAGCCAGATTTTAAAAACAGCAAAGTCATCTGTTTTTTCACACGGTCTACCTCCCTCCAGAATGAGCAAATGAATAAATACACCACAATCCTAAATAAGTCTACTGAGAAGCAAAATTCATTGAGTTTGTTAGGACAAGCTATAGAGTATAGAATGGGACCTACCTTCCCACCCCCCACCCCAAAGAAAGAAAACCTTATAATAGGTTTACCTTAGGAATTTGGATTTCTCTGTAAAATGGAACACATTCCAGAAAAAAATGTGGATAAAAATAAAAGCTAAAATCATTAAGGCTGCATCCACACTGTGGAAATAATCTGGTTTGACACCACTTTGATTGCCATGGCTCCATGCTATGGCATGTAGTTTGTTTTGGCACCAGAGTAGAGCTCTGACGATGGAGCTGTGGCAATTAAAATGTTGTCAAACCAGATAATTTCTGCATTGCAAATGTAGCCTTAGTGTTTGCAGCTTTTTTTCTGGAGTGTACTGTATTTTGGGGGAATGTTCTCCATTTTGCGTTGCCTTGTCCTCCTTTCCCATGTAATATAAATAATATCAAGATAGACATAAATATACATTTATATCATGTGGTTTATTTACAGCTATATGGCATACACTGAATTTTATTATGCACTCAATTGCATTTTTCTGATGAATTTATCTCTGCTAAAATGCCTTGTTGGCTTGCAATATGCTTGTAAAACTATGAGCAAGAAAAAGGCTTAAAATTATACTTCACTAGCCATCACCCCTTGACTGAATCTTTGTTGTTGTTGTGTGACTTCCAAGTAGTTTCCAACCTACACCATAGCATAAACTGAAGCTACCATGGAGTTTTCTTGTCAAGATTTGTTTGCCATTGCCTTCCTCTGAGGCTGAGAGAGTGTGACTTGCCCACTCATTGGGTTTCCATGGGCGAGTAGAAATTCGAACCCTGGTCTCCACCATCATAGCCCAATATTCAAACCATGCTGGCTCATGCACATAAACCTAGGATCCATTAAAATAATCCAACATAGAATTAAAAATATCTTATTTTAAAATGCATAGATTTCAAGCTTCTGTCCAGGAAGAATTTCAAAATCTCTTCCATTTTGAGCATGACTAAGAAGCATGAATTTATATTAATGTTTTTGGCTTTTAGTTGGTCGTGTCCTACATTTTGTCTCAGTTTTGTGGAAGAGAATTATGGCAACCCTACTTGCAAACTTTATAGGCTTCTCAGAAGGTAAAATGTAATGGGAAGGATCTTTAAATATTGGCTTCTTAGCAAAAATGGTCTAATATAGCTCAGTTCATCAAACATTTCTTAATCAGTCTTTTGGCAAGTAACTCTCTAGACAAAGGGGTACTTTTTCATTAATAAATGTAGAATAGATTCCATATTTGTTGGGGTTAGGGGCACAGAACCCCTGTGAAAGTGGCAAAAACACAAATTAAAAACCCACCATTTTTTTACCCCAGAGAACACCTCTTTAGGAATCTCTAGGTCCCTAGCACAACTCTTGGTCACCTTCTACAAGAAAAAGCCTACAAATGCCTAGAGATGTGTTGACAAAACTAGAAAACTAGGCTGGAATTAATTAAATGAAATTGAATTGAGCGAAAAGCACAAATCTACGTTTACACCATAAAACCTAGATGCACAGGTGTAGGATGGGGGATACTTGGCCCAGAAGTACTACATGTGAAAAGGATCTTGTGATTATTCTTGATCATAAGTTG